TCACCCAGGCCGGAGTGCAGTGGCGAAATCTCAGCTCACTACAACCTCCACCTCCTGGGTTCAAGCAATTATCCCACCTCAGCCTCCCAAGTAGCTGGGACTACAGGCACGTGCCACCGTGCCTGGCTAATTTTTTGTATTTTTAGTAGAGATGGAGTTTCACCATGTTAGCCAGGATGGTCTCGATCTCCTGACCTCATGATCCGCCCAGTTTGGCCTCCCAAAGTGCTGGGATTAGAGGCATGAGCCACTGTACCCAGCCTCACATCAGCTTTTAAAGGAAAGAATCCAGGCCTTAAAGAGTTAAAGAGTGAATAGATCTGGGGTCTCTTCTGAGGCGATGAGAAAGTTGGAAACTAAAGAGAGCTGATGGCTGCACAACCTCAAGAATGCACCAAATGCCTCTGAGTTGTCCACTTTAACGTGGTCGGTTGGTAACACACGTGTTAAGCTGCTTGATTTAGCCATTCCACAATATACACACATATCAAAACATCATGTTGTACATTGTATGAACGATTTTTATTTGTCCATTAAAAATACATTTTAAAACTGTAATAAAATGGCGAATTGTATGCTATATAAATTTTACTTTTTAAAGTAAAATTTTTTACTTTTAAAAAAAAGAGTTAAAGAGAAAAAAGTTGAAGACCTGCCTCAGCTTCCTGGGGACTGACAAGAGAGATTTTCATAGATGAGACTTCGTGCTTGGAGAGTACCAGACCCCTGGTGTGGTGCAGACCCCGGAGAGCCCCCAGGGGAGGGCCCGTCGCCTCTTGCCACCTCCTCTGGGCCAGTCTCTGAGCTCCCATTTTTGCAGCCTGGAAGGAGGAGACCTCTTTGATATGTAGGTTATGGGAGATTTCCAAGGAAAGGAAAGAAATCAGATAATTCACTCCCTGGTCAGAGTCCAAGGCTGGAGGACGATGGTGAGAACTGCTGACCAGCCACAACCCTCAGGCCTAAGAGCAAGGATTCCAGCAGGAGGACACAGTCCCCAAACCCCTCCCAGGTCTTATCCCTGCCCATCCTGGAGAGAGACCAGCGAACCAGCAGTCGAAGCCAGGAGTCTGGGGGCGCCGAGGGGACTATCTGCTGGAAAAAGCCTGTCTCACTCAGCCTGACGTCGCCCCGCCCTGATGCTGGGACCAGAGGGTGTTCGGGCAGCTCTGACCCAGTGGCCCTCCAGGAGGGAGCCTCCTCCCCCACTCTCCAGGCTTTTCTCGTGCTCCTGCTGCCCCCTGGACACTGTTCCGTGTTAGATCACTCACCTCTCTCCCCAGGAGCCTAATTATCATTTACAATGAAAAAGAGATTCAAAATAAAATACCTCTTCTTATGCCCAATCAACCTTTATGGGCAGTCAATTGCCCAGAAGCAAATCTTCCCTCACCCAGGTCAGCCCTGCCTGTCTGGGAATGAAGGTCTGTCCCGTCAGCCTTTTGTGAAACTCTTAATACTTCAGGATTTGTGTAAGCGGACTGGGCTTTCTCATGGCTCAGGCCTGTGTGCAGCTTTCAAGATAAATGCACACATCTCACACACAGACACAGAGAGGCACACATGGAGAGATGCGTGCAGATGCATGCACACACACGGCTGCACTCACATCTCGCACACACACGCTTACACACGCATGTTCTGATCCCTCCAAAGGCCACCTCCCGCCACTCCTGTTGCTACTGCACCCTAGTATTTCATGAAAAGCAAACAAATTGCATCTCCTTGATTACATTTCCTGATTTCTTAGAAAGCAAAATTGTAGTAATTGGTTTACATTAAGCATCATGCTATTTGGGAGAGGGAAATTAAATAGAATACCGTTAGAGCTGATTCGTAGGCAAACATAGCTAAATTAAACAAGCCTAAACAACCATATTTGCAGGGCAGATTGCAGTTTCAGTAACTGCTGCAACAAAGAGCTATTCCATGATGTCTGGGTGGTAGGATGGTAGTGGTGAACCCAGGTCCCAGAGAACTTTGGGACCCTCCGGACAGTCCTGTGAGGCCTCAGATGGCTCAGGAGGCCCGCCTGGTGCCTGGAATCGGGGGCCCTAACAAAGGTTTCAGGTTCTGAAAGTCAGCCCTGCGACCGCCACTGCTTGCCAGGCTGCAGGTTCAGCTCAGTGGGCCAGCGGTTCAGGACTGTGGCTTGCCCATGGTACTGAGTGTGACATGTGTAACCTTCAGAGCCCTCCACCCCTCTGCCACAGGTGTCCGAGCACCAGGCTCAGGAGCACCCCTGGGGGAGCTGTGAGGATGTGGCAAGGACTCCACCCCAACCCCTCCCACAGTCCCGCAGCCTCTGCCGTCCAGGACCAAGTCGCTGACCGAGTCCTTGAGTGTGTGTGGCATCCCTCCCCCTCGGCTCTGTGCTCCAGGGTCATGTGAAAACTGGGGCCTAATGGAGTTCAAGGAGAAAACGTCAAACCACATCTATGGTTGGCGGAAGTCCATATGGGAGAGGTCAATTCCGTGAGCGGGTGTTTAACTCGGGACCTGCTTAGCTGGCCCAGGCTCTGTCAGCACCTGACCATTGCAGTTCATAAGGACCATGAGCTCTGGCAACAGGGAAAAAGGGGAAGGGTGGGCCCAGCCCCATTTTCCCAGTTTTAACACAAAAAGTCCTGCATCCCAGGAACCCCCTCAGTCCCAGATAAAGCGAGATGGTTTAGGGCTCTATTTGCCACCTTGATGGAGGCTGCAGAACTGTCCCACATCAAGGCTGGGATTCTTTCATGGGTGACAGGACGGTTCCAGGGCAGAGGGCAGAGCCGTCCCCGCCATGCACAGCTGGGTCTCGGAGCGGGTTCTGCTGTGAAACACCCACCCTGTTGGCAGATCATAGCTGAGCACAGACCTCTCTCCTGCTGAGGAGGGCGCACTCTCCACCTGGCAGATCCTACTGAGGAGGGTGCACTCTCCCCCTGACGGATCCTACTGAGGAGGGTGCACTCTCCCTCTGACGGATCCTACTGAGGAGGGTGCACTCTCCCCCTGACGGATAGGCTTCCACTTATCTCTCTCTCTCTGGAATGCCCCGGCCTTAATTTGGAGTTGGTGCCCAGCCAACCAACTCCTTGGGTATAGAAAATAAGAAGAAGAGCAAAAGATGGGACCTTTAGGTTCATTTAAAGGCCCTGAGCAAGTGACTGTCTTCTCAGTGGGCTGGAGCCAGCTCCCCGTCCCACCCTGCCATTTGGTAGCTGTGAGGCCTGGGGCAAGTTGCTGGGCCTCTGTGGGCATCTGTGTTTTCTTCTTCTATACACGGGACAAGTTTGTGTGGAATGAGGAACATTGCAACATTGCACTGTGTCTGGCACCTAATATCAAGCAGAGAGAAGGGAAAAGCTACCCAGTACAATAAACCACTTTTTTTTTTTTTTTTTTGAGATGGAGTTTCGCTCTGTCACCCAGGCTGGAGTACAGTGACATGATCTCTGCTCACTGCAACCTCTGCCTCCCGGGTTCAAGCGATTCTCCTGCCTCAGCCTCCCAAGTAGCTGGGACTACAGGTACCCACCACCACACATGGCTAATTTTTGTATTTTTAGTACAGACGGAGTTTCACCATGTTGGCCAGGCTGGTCTCAAACTCCTGACCTCAGGCGATCCGCCCACCTCGGCCTCCCAAAGTGCTGGGATTACAGGCGTGAGCCACTGTGCCGGCCAAATAAACCACTTTTTAGGGAGAAAATGGGGTGGGGGTAGAGATTCCACAGTGGCTCCTGCCCATCCCGTCTTCCCTGGCTGCAGATGCAGCAAAGGGAGGTGCAGCCAGCAAGGCAAGGGCAGGTGGAGACCCGCAGCGCCTGTTCCCCCTTCATGGCCCAGTGACTTTGAGGGCTAAATCTACCCATCTCTCACCACTCCTCTCTCCCCCACCTCGTCTGGGTGTCTCGCTCTATTACCTTCTTATGCATGGTTCTAATTATCTCTTTGTATCTCCTGTGAAACCAGTGCTGTAGAAGCCCCGCTCCATCTCTCCCTCTCTCGACGGTGGGTCTGACAGTTGGAACAGAAGCCCTCGGAATGATGAATCTGCTTTATTAAAAGTCCTTTGTTTAAAAGCATCATCCCCGCCTTCCATGTCAGGACACAGCCTACTCGCAGAGGAGAAAGAGGCAGGCTCAAGGCATGGAAGGAAAAATGTCTTCAAACAGCTATTCATGTTTTTAAAATTTTTAACTGGATGAAAGCTGTTCTCCACTACATTTCCTTCCTCGAGTTATTTTAATTCATTCAACCTAAGTTTCTGTTCAAACCGGGGGATAGTGTCCCAGAAGTGAAACTGAGGGGCACACACAGGGAACCATGGTGATTCCTCCACATTCTCACTCAGCAGCCACCAAAAAACACCAGGGACAGTGCCAGGTATCAGGCCCTGTGCTGGGCGCAGAAACCCCGAGTAGAAATCAGAGACAGCCTCTGCACTCACTGGAAGCTGAGTTTATGCTGGTGTTCAAGGGAGGACTCTTGGGGGAAGCCAGTAAATCCCAAGCTAAGAAACTGGTCCCAAGTGACTGATACCCCTCCGATCATGACAGAAGAAGATGCACCATAATGAAAACAAAGACAAATTCTAGAGGAAAACTTACAGAATTCAGGGCTCATAAGATTCCCATGGAATATATCATTTCTGTGGTAGATTCATTTGTAAGTTTTTTAACATGAAGAATCATGTTGGCAGTATAAATTTGATCTTCTGATTCATAGGGGAAACAGGAATTTCCATTTTTCAGTCAACCTGCCTCAGCAGGGCCCAAGGTCTCATACCAGTCCCTTAATGAACATCACAACCCAGAAACCCAGCTTCCAGGCCTCCCTTCCAGTCTCACCACTCCACTCACGGCACCTACAGCTCAAGCGTTTCCTGTTCCTTGTTAATTTCTAGCCCAGGGCCATTCCGAATGTGTGTGTGTGTGTGTGTGTGTGTGTGTGTGTGTGTGTGTGTGTGTGTGTGCAGGCATACATTCATATACTGGACACTGTGTATCTGTTGAAGGGTTATAGTTCACCTGTTATTTCTGTGCATTTTTAGGAGGGGACACACCATGCTGCCTTGGCCCATCATTTTCCTGGAACCAGACATTTGGTTATGTAATTCCAAATGTTTTTACAGAGCTGATGCATTTTCCCATTTATAAAAAAATGATGTGTTCTCATGGCGATTGGAGAATATAAAACCCTAAAATGGAAAGCAGAGGAGTGACTGGAAATAAAGCTTTAGAAACTGAATACATGGCTGTGAATGGTAACAACGTCTCTTTCCCAGGGATAAGGATCGACTGAGAAAATCCTCCACAGTGGGTTAGAAGATGCTAAAGAAACATTGAAATATTTGAGCTACAGACTCAGATGGCCAAGAGGCTCCAGAGGGGCAGGCCTGGTGATGAATGGAGCTGCAGAGATTGCACCTGCCGAGGGTGAGAGACAGAAAAATGGCAGAACCTAAACCAGTGCCCCGGCCCCCACCCAGCCTTTGCAATCACCCATTGAGTACCCCGTGTCCGGTGACTTGAGATCAAGACCAAGGAGAAAAGAAAAGTTCACATGTCAAAAATATATCCACAAGCTTCAACCAAACAATAACTTCGAAACATGCCTTTCTCTCTCTCTTGGAAAAGGATTTCTGAATGTCGGAGTGAGATTTGTTACCTGATGATGCCTCAGGTCTGTGAAGACTTCTCCTCCCAGGTGAGAGGACCGAGGGCTTTGATAAACGGCAGTTCTGAGTTGCAAAATTATTAGCAAGATGGTCGGTTTCCACTGAAATAAGAGTTTTTGTTTTAATGTATATTGTAATGAAAGCTTGTAACAGTACTGTACCATAAACACAAACAGCACAATCTTATAAAAATTTCATCTTTATCTATTTTGGGGAGAAATAGTCCTGTCTGCCTAATTGAGGCATCTGTCATTCTGACATTAAATAGTGCATCCTTGGTCCTTTTATTATATCGTGGTACATTTCTCACACACTGCTAAATTGAAATAATGCTGCTCACTTGGAGATAAAGGGACATAATAGGTATTTTATAATGAGGGGGACAGAGGATTTATCTTGCATCCAGGCTGAGAATTGCTTTATCTTTTTCCTGGGGTTTGCTGCCCTAAAGGGAGCTTTGGCTCGTCGTATCTCTCAAAACTCCAATAAGAGAAGAATCAAATGAGAAACAGTTAGACAAGAATTAGAAATGTGATTCAGGCAGTCAGTCATCTGTGCACTCTGGGAACAGCTCTACGGGCAGCTCAGGTGGGCGGGGCCTGGCCCAGCCACAGACAGCATGTCAATGTTGAAAATTAAATCCCATTTACTATTTTTTAATAGTCCAATCTCTCCCCTGGAGCATCCCAGCCTTTGTTTCAAAATATTTGATTCAACTTACTCTATTTCACTTTCCTGAATAAAATCATAGACTTATGATTTCATAGTGTTCATAAAATCATAGACTTTCCGTGCTCAAATGACTTTGAGTCACCTACTCAAAGCATCTCACTAGTGTTCGAGGGCTCTGTAGTCACCCTACAAAGCCATCTTCCTTTCAGGATTTCAACATTTCCAGGGTTAAGAGTTTAATCGAGACTTCCCAGTTTAAATACCGACTCCTCTGTGTGATGCTGGGCAGCTTTCACAGCCTCTCTCTGCCTCAGCTTCTTTACTATTTATAAAATAGCAACAGTAATAGCACCCAATAAGAGTACTAATACTTCCTTTATTATTTCCAGCACAACCACTCTGTCTTTCATTTCTGTTAGTCATAGCTCCTTAAACCTCTCTGTGCCTACTACCGAGTCAAGGGATCCACCATAAGAGTCATGATGATGATAGTGATGGTGATAATGATGATGATTATGATGATGATGGTGGTGGTGATGGTGATGATGGTGATGACGGAGATGGTAATGATGGTGGTGATGGAGATGGTAATGATGGTGATGATAACGGTAATGATGGTATTGGTGATGATGGTGATCACAGTGATGATGGTAAGAATGGTGGTGATGACGGTAATGACGATGATGGTGATGATGGTGATGGTGGTAATGATGGTGATGATGGTGATGGTGGTAATGATGATGGCGATGATGGTGATGATTGTAATGATGATGGTGATCACAGTGATGATAGTAAGGATGCTGCTGCTGGTGGTGGTGGTGGTGATAATGTAATGATGGTGATGGTGATGGTGGTAATGATGATGGTGATCACAGTGTTGACAGTAAAGATGGTGTTGATGATAATGGTGATGGTGGTGGTGGTGGTGATGGTGACGATGATGGTGGTGATGATGGTGATGGTGATGGTGGTAATAATGATGATGGTGATCACAGCGATGATAGTAAGGACGGTGGTGGTGGTGGTGGTGGTGGTGATGGTGATGATGATGTAATGATGACGGTGATGATGATGATGGTAACCGTGATGGTGGTAATCATGATGATGATCCCAGTGATGAAAGTAAGGATGGTGTTGATGATAATGGTGATGGTGGTGGTGGTAGTAATGATGATCATGATGATCATGTAATGACAGCAGCCAGCCAACATTTGTGAGGCATTTACTAAGTGTTCACACTGTTTTCAATGCTTTGTACATATTCATTCGTTTTACCCCAACAGCAGTCCTATGACATAGGGACAATTATTGCAAATGAGAACATTGGAGCTTATGTTTGCTCAAGGCTGCCTACCTGGCAAGGGTCTGACTGGGATTCAGACCTAGGCAGCTGCTCCATCGATCAGCTCTGCACACTTTCTCCATGTTGTACAGACCAACAGGCCCCCTCTTCTCCTGGGTGCCCAAGGGCAGAGGCCAGAGTGTTAGGCTGCAGTCTCCTCTTGGCATCCCAAGGAGAGGAGACCAGGTGGCTCACACTAAGTAAACTCAATTCCAAGGACATACTGGCTGCCAATGCTTCTCTCTCAACACAGTGAGTTACACAAAAAGGATAACAAAGCCAGTGGCCATGAATTGCCTGACCTATGTTCAGTAGAAAGAGGTTTATTTTATGTAGGAAATGTCTACATAAAAGATGAAGTTTATTATATTGTTGATACCAAATCCTGAGTGGATGATGCATCTTCTTTTGTAACTGCAGACACTAGAGAAGAGAAATGGCTCATACAATCTATTTATGTGTGAAGTATGACGTGCCAGCTCACCAGTGGACCCTTCTGTTGGTACATTCTGCTATCTCGCTCCCCAAATTTCTGCCCAGCACCATTCACTGACCTGGGAGTCAGCAGTTAGATGCCATAGATCCAAAGTATTTAAAGTCTTCAAATTGCAGTTTTAAATGTTTAAAGTATACCAACATCTCTTTTAGCCCTACTCCTTCTTATGTAAGAGCTACCTTTATATTCTCTAAAAGGAATCAAATGTAAATTTCCCTGAACCATGAACTGTGAAAACAGCACCAATGCATCTTAGGTCTAATAGAGAGTGAGAGAAGGATTTTGCTTGTTTTTCCAGTAACCTGTGGGTATCAAAGGTTTTCATAAGATAAGTCATTGACTTGGTGTTTCAGAATAATCACATTAAGCATCTGACCCTGAAGACTCTTTAACTGGGGATAAGGACTCTGTGAAACAGAGTAACAATGACAGCTTTCACCCCATGCCACAGCCAATAGAAGCCAGGCCCAGATGATACGCCCAGGAGGTCGTCATATCCAGGGATGTGACAGAGCACAGACGGAGATCAGGCTGGGAGGGGGTGGGGCCCAGAGCAGGCATAGGCCTCCTTCTCCCAACCTCCCAACTCCCAGGCTGCCAGCAGCCCTCTTCTCCAAGACAGCTTTCTCCAAAGGGAACATTGAGCTGCCCACTGAGAGTGTGGGGTCCCATCCTCTGCCCAGGCTTTGGGGTCCTGTCTCCCTGGAAGGGAAGATTCCTTCCCCTAAAGAGAAACCTAGAAAAAAGGTAGCTGGGGGTCTTGGGGAAGCCATTACTGGCAGTTGTGAGCCCCAGCAGAGGTGGAACCCAGTTAGGAAAGCACAGACCAAGAACTGGGCAGCCCACGACTCTTAAGGTCACAGGGGAGGACTCAGCCGAGGATCAAACCCCACTGGGGTGGCCGGGGGCCATGGCAAGGGGAACATCCCCCCCCGCCGCCCCAGCTTCTCACACATCCTGACCCCAGGCCCTACAGGGTTCAAGGCTGGGTGGGAAGTGTGGCAAGAAGGGCAGCCCTTGGAAAGTCATGGGCCATCGCACGGTGCCTGCACCATCCTGTCCCTGGCTCAGAAAGAACAGGAGGGCCCCTGCCCCATCTCCCAGCTCTAGCATCTCGGAATCTAGGGAGAGGAGGAGCGGAGATCCCAAAGGTTCCTCAGCTGAGGGAGCCATGCTGCACTCCAAGGAGCCCTATCTAGGACAGGGCACAGTACTGTCCTGTGTGTTGTGGCCTCCTATGGGACTCTTTCTCTCTGTTTTACGTCTTCCCTGCATCTCCCACCCAAACCTCATTGCCCACAAACAGAATCCCTCCAACCCATTCCGTGACGTGGATGGACTTTTGCCTGCAATGGGGAGACTGGCCTTGTCATGGGCTTGGATTGGGGGGCTCAGATCCAGGGGCTCTCCCAAACCTGGGGTGGCAGGAGGGGATGGCTCCCAAGGCCCCATGCAGCTCGGGGACCCAGGTATAGAGCCAGAAGGTAAAGCAAGCAACGATCTTCGTTTCTGCAGGGTCTCGAGGGAAGTGGAAGGAAGTGCCCATCAGGTTAATGCTGGAAACCTAGTCCCGTGTGTGACCCGAGGGAACTCGTCATCGTGCGTTTGGTGAGCGAAGGCTGAGCCTGCTTTGTTCTTGGTGCACCGTGGTGTAGGGTGAGCCTTCTCCATCATCCCACATGGGCTGGGCCTGTAGGCTCCGCTCCCATTCTCACCTCCCCTAAGGCCTGGGTTCCCTTACATTGTTCTTCTCTGACTGCATTAATTGTTGACCAGTCTAATTCCTGACCTCTGGAGTGGAAGGAGACCGTGGGAGTCCTCCGGGGGGAAATCCCAGGAGAAAGTTACATTTCACGACGAATATGAGTGTCAGTGCCATCAAGGCACTGACGGAAAGTTCCTCCCAAATATAAACTTCCGTCTGCTTCAAAGAATGGAATTTTCTGAATCTCTCAAGTGGGAGTGGCAGAGAGGAGCATGGCATGGAGTTTGGTGGAGGCCAGGGCATCTTACGAAAAAAAAAAAAAAGCCATAGAAACCATAAGCCAAACCAAGGAGTTATGGATTGAAAGGGACCCCTCACACACACACAAAGGGAAAAAGAGGCTCCCACCCAGCCTCACATGCCCACCCGCAGGGCTGTCGGGTTCAGGCTGTCTGCCAGCAGGGAGAGCCAGGAGAGAAGTGGCCCCGGCCCCAACCCCGCCTCCCTGTCCACGGCCCCCTTGTCCCCTTGTCTCTCTTTTGGCCTTTGGCCTTGGTCTTCCATTCATTCATCCATTTCTTTGAACAACAGAAAGAGCTCCTGAAAAGCCTGCAGGGGGCCGCATAGTCAGCCCCAGAGGTGAGTTTAAAGGGTCCCAGGTGAGTCACTACCTGGGTCCAGGGCAACCTGATGCACTGTCCACCTCTGAACTGCATTTTTCTCTGCTTGAAACCGGCCCCCAAGCCAGATTTGAGCCAAGAAGATAGCAGCCAGGCTTGGAGGAATGGGGAGTAGAAAGGAAATTAAGTGGACACTTAGGGCTAAAGCTACACCCTGGCCAAGGAACACTGAGAAACTGAGGGAAAGGGAAGCAGGGGGAGGGAAAATAGGGAGGAAAGTACCACCTGCCTCTCCTGTATGAACCACAGATTCAATAATAGGGTGACTCATCCTGTCATCCCATTATTGGCAGAAATGCTGCTCAGAATATATTTGATTTGCTAATATCCTGGGCCTCAGATATACCCCTTAGGTTCTATCAGAGCGAGGATGTTGCAGAAAACCTGTGCTCCTGGCTGTACACATGGCAATGACAGTTCCTGCCCTCCCAGCTCCAGGGAGGGGCTTCAACATTCTGCTTTTCACAAAGTTTGTTTCCTTCCTGTGACTCTGAGCTCAGTGTCTCAGTGGAGCCTTGTGAATGTGAGAAGGATGCATCTGCTGTGTTCTTGGGCCACCATAGTGTGGGATTTGCCAGGCTTTGCAGGAGACAGGGTGAAGTCGAGGCATCCACTCTGTGCACAGCTCCCACGTCTGAGCGTGGAAGTCTCGGGCTGGGCTCTCAGTCAGGGACAGCCTAGGGAGTCAGATGTGCAGGTATTGGGGTCTGAAGAGCGCTCACATCCTCTGCCGTCTCCACTAGTGGGTAAAACTCAGGCTCAGGGATTCAGGAACTGGAGGCTGAATATACAAACAGACAGTGGGCAAACCATACGTGGAAAGACAGCTCTGACCCATGACCTGCAGCACCAGCGCAGGAAGCCACCCCTTCCCTATAGACCCAGCCCAGGAAACCACCCCTTCCCTATACCACCCCTTCCCTACAGACCCCGCCCAGGAGACCACCCCACCCAGCCCAGGAGACCGCCCCTTCCCTGCAGACCCAGCCCAGGAGACCACCCCTTCCCTACAGACCCAACCCAGGAGACCACCCCTTCCCTACAGACCCAACCCAGGAGACCGCCCCTTCCCTACAGAGCCCGCCCAGGACACCGCCCCACCCAGCCCAGGAGACCACCCCTTCCCTGCAGACCCAGCCCAGGAGACCGCACCTTCCCTATAGACCCTGCCTAGGAGACCACCCCTTCCCTAAAGACCCAACCCAGGAGACCGCCCCTTCCCTATAGACCCCACCCAGGACACCGTCCCACCCAGCCCAGGAGACCGCACCTTCCCTATAGACCCAGCCCAGGAGACCGCCCCTTCCCTGCAGAACCAGCCAGGAGGCCGCCCCTTCTCTACAGACCCCGCCCAGGAGACCTCCCTTTCCCTACAGACCCCGCCCAGGAGACCGCACCTTCCCTATAGACCCAGCCCAGGAGACCGCCCCTTCCCTGCAGACCCCGCCCAGGAGACCGCCCCTTCCCTGCAGACCCCGCCCAGGAGACCGCCCCTTCCCTGCAGACCCAGCCAGGAGGCCGCCCCTTCTCTACAGACCCCGCCCAGGAGACCTCCCTTTCCCTAGAGACCCCGCCCAGGAGACCACCTCTTCTCTACAGACCCAGCCCAGGAGACCGCCCCTTCCCTGCAGACCCCGCCCAGGAGACCGCCCCTTCCCTGCAGACCCCGCCCAGGAGACCGCCCCTTCCCTACAGACCCCGCCCAGGAGACCGCCCCTTCCCTACAGACCCCGCCCAGGAGACCGCCCCTTCCCTGCAGACCCCGCCCAGGAGACCGCCCCTTCCCTGCAGACCCCGCCCAGGAGACCGCCCCTTCCCTACAGACCCCACCCAGGGGCCAGCCTGTTGCCATGAGTCAGACTTGCAAACGTCAGATCACCATCCCTCAAACAGCCCAGGACACCAAACAATAACCCCTGTCACAGCCAGCCCCGGGTGGCCAGGCCTTGATTAGCAACTGATGACTTCCCTAATTTTTGTCCCCACTTCCAATTCATATTCCAACTCTAAACATGGCCCCTCCCCAATCCTGTCACAGGACACCTGCTTCTGGTCAGCTGCCTCCAGCTCCCCAGGCCAACAGCCTCTGTGGGGGCTCACCTGGAACCTCCCCATCTCCACCTTGAAGCTTCCCACTCCCCTGCCTGCCTTTGAGGCAAGCGATGGTGGCCGACTCCTGCGCAAGCTCCAAACAATGGACCTCTGCTTTCCTCATTGGGAGCAGGGTCTTCCCTCATTTCCAAGCCCTGAGCACAGCGGCGGAGTCCAAGCAGCAGCAGCCTACCCCTCAGTGCTTCAGCAAAGCAGAGACACCGGTGGGAGCAGGAGGGCCCAGGCGGAACCTTCTGGAGCAGGTCCTGGAGCTCCTGGCTGGCTCCTGAGCTTCCCCTCTGAGGTCCTGCACAACCGTATCTGCTGAATGCTGAGAGGACCAAGCTGGGAAACAGAGGGAGCAGGTCACAGGATAGGAACTTGGGAAGAAAAACGCTTTCCTTCCCCAGGGGCTCCAGCAGGGTGGCGAGGGGCTGAAAAGAGGGACTGGGTTCAGTGTCCCATTCAGGGCACATGCCGTCTCGAATTGGGAGAAGAGGGTATTTTTCAGCATTTGTGCTAAACTTGCGTGTGTACATATTCGCTGGCACTTCGGCAGCAGTTGGTTTGCTCTCGCTAAGCGTTATTTTATTATTCAAACCAGAGTTTGGTTCATTATCTCTCTGCAGAGCTTCTTGCAGGCAGAACTCCCACACTCCGACATCGCTGTCCAGAGTCAGTCCTGTGGGACTCTCAGAGTACAGAAAATTCTGAGAGCTCCGTGATGAGAGGGAAGGCTCAGCGTGGAAAACAAGGCGGTCCCACTCCTCCGCCTTCAGTTCTCCAGGGCAAGCGGGGCAGAGCTGTCCGAGATTCTGGGAATCTTCACTGTTTCTAGTTCAGCACAAAGGTGGGGTGTGGCTTGGAGGTAAGAACCAGAAACAGGACCCTGGGACTCAGGGAACATCGGTGGGGAATGAGCTGGGTCAAGGGAGCCAGTCCTGGGCCAGCCCCAGAGGCTGAGTCAGAGGTCAGGCCGGGCCCAGGAGATCCTGGCCGAGAGCTCCGGGAAGTGCTGGTGCAAGCGGGCTGGGTGTGCAGCCAGCGGGAATAGTGGGGCAGAGAAGGGGTGCAGAAGGGCCGGCAGGCAGGTAATAATGAGAGGAACAGGAGGAGGCAGGTTATGGCAAGTCACAGGGCCTGGGCAAAGGAGCTGGGGTCAGCAATAATATAGAAGAGATCAGAGGCCAGACCCCACCCAGGCCTGGCAGATGTAGGGACGGCTTCTGGAGGAAGTGGGAGCAGACTCCATGCAAGGGAGGGGCTGGGGAAGGAAGCTCAGGCCCAGGCAAAGAGGCAAGGAAGTCAGGCAGAGGAGAGGCAGGGGTCTCTGGGAGCTGGGGCCTCTCTGGTTCTTTGGGTTTCTGCAAGATAGAATGCTGTGTGCTCCACAACTTCTCCTCAGCTACCACCAGACCCTTGGGGGCATCACAGCAACCCTCAACACAGCCTGCTTTGCTGGACATGTGCCCTGAACTTTGAGACCCAAGCTAGGGCTTGATTTAGGCCATTGTTGTTCACTCAATCGCCAGGCTCTGCTTATAACAATAGCAAAAACACCAATAAGAATTGTTAGGGACTTCCTGGAGTCCAAATTATTTGGGTTATACAAATTATTCAGGCTGCTTCCTGGGACCCCAAAACCAAGCAGTGAAATAAAAGTTAAAGGTGAGCAGACAGAAAGAAAGCCTCAAATTCCAACTACGATTAGCCCCAAGATGAGAAGACAGCGCACAGCAGCTCCCTAACCAAAACATGCTGCTTACACTGAACAAACATCACATGCGCCATGACGGCCGCACGCCCACTGCACAGTGCATGCTCCAGGGAACTCTTAAACTAGAGTAAGTTATCTCCCACGGCTTAGTCCATGCTGCGCTGCCATAACAGAATACCTGAGACTGGGTAATTTATAAATAACGGAGATTTATTTCTTACAACTCTTGAGGCTGGGAAGTCCAAGGCCATGGTGCCCCCATCTGATGAGGGCCTTCTTGCTGTGTCATCCCATGGAGAAAGGTAGGAGGGCAAGAGACGGAGAGGAGGGAAGGAGATCAAACTCATCTTTTCACTGGGAGTTCATTCCCTTGAAAATTAACCCACCCTCATGATAACTAACCCACTCCCATGATAACTAACCCACTCCCATGATAACTAACCCACTCGCATGATAACCAACCCACACCCATGATCACGAACCCACACCCATGATAACTAGCCCACTCCCATGATGACTAACCCACTCTTATGATAACTAACCCACTCCCATGATCACTAATCCACTCCCATGATCACTAACCCACTCTCATAATAACTAACCCACTCCCATGATTATTAACCCACTCGCATGATGACTAACCCACTCCCATGATGACTAACCCACTCTCATGATCACTAACCCACTCCCATGATCAATAACCCACTCGCATGATCACTAACCCACTGTCATGATCACTAACCCACTCGCATGATCACTAACCCACTCCCATGATCACTAACCCACTGTCATGATCACTAACCCACTCGCATGATCACTAACCCACTGTCATGATCACTAACCCACTCGCATGATCACTAACCCACTCGCATGATCACTAACCCACTGTCATGATCACTAACCCACTCGCATGATCACTAACCCACTCGCATGATGACTAACCCACTCCCATGATCGCTAACCCGCACCCATGATCACTAACCCACTCTCATGCTAACTAACCCACTCCCATGCTAACTAACCCACTTCCATGATCATTAACCCACTCTCATGATCATTAACCAACTCTCATGCTAACTAACCCACTTCCAGGATAACTAACCCACTCCCATGATCACTAACCCACTCCCAAGATAACTAACCCACTCCCATGATGACTAACCCACTCTTATGATAACTAACCCACTCCCATGATCACTAATCCACTCCCATGATCACTAACCCACTCTCATGATAACTAACCCACTCCCATGATTATTAACCCACTCGCATGATGACTAACCCACTCCCATGATGACTAGCCCAGTCTCATGATCACTAACTCACTCCCATGATCACTAACCCACTCGCATGATCACTAACCCACTGTCATGATCACTAACCCACTCGCATGATCACTAACCCACTCCCATGATCACTAACCCACTCGCATGATCACTAACCCACTCCCATGATCACTAACCCACTCGCATGATCACTAACCCACTGTCATGATCACTAACCCACTCACATGATGACTAACCCACTCCCATGATCACTAACCCACTCGCATGATCACTAACCCACTGTCATGATCACTAACCCACTCGCGTGATCACTAACCCACTCGCATGATGACTAACCCACTCCCATGATCGCTAACCCACTCCCATGATCACTAACCCACTCGCATGATCACTAACCCACTCCCATGATCACTAACCCACTCGCATGATCACTAACCCACTGTCATGATCACTAACCCACTCCCATGATCACTAACCCACTCGCATGATCACTAACCCACTGTCATGATCACTAACCCACTCACATGATGACTAACCCACTCCCATGATCACTAACCCACTCGCATGATCACTAACCCACTGTCATGATCACTAACCCACTCGCGTGATCACTAACCCACTCGCATGATGACTAACCCACTCCCATGATCGCTAACCCACTCCCATGATCACTAACCCACTCTCATGCTAACTAACCCACTCTCATGCTAACTAACCCACTTCCATGCTAACTAACCCACTTCCATGATCATTAACCCACTCTCATGATCATTAACCAACTCTCATGCTAACTAACCCACTTCCAGGATAACTAACCCACTCCCATGATCACTAACCCACTCCCATGATCACTAACCCACTCCCATGATCACTAACCCGCACCCATGATCGCTAACCCACTCTCATGCTAACTAACCCACTCCAATGCTAACTAACCCACTTCCATGATCATTAACCTGCTCTCATGATCTTTAACCCACTCTCATGCTAACTAACCCACTTCCATGATAACTAACCCACTCCCATGATCACTAACCCACTCCCATGATCACTAACCCGCTCTCATGATCACTAACCCGCTCTCATGATCACTAACCCACTCCCATGATAACTAACCCACTCCCATGATCACTAACCCACTCCCATGATCACTAACCCACTCCCATGATCATTAACCCACTCGTATGATCACGAATCCACTCCTATGATCACTAACCCACTCTCATGCTAACTAACCCACTCCCATGATGACTAACCCACTCCCATGATCACTAACCCGCACCCATGATCACTAACCCACTCTCATGATAACTAACCCATTCCCATGATCACTAACCCACTCCCATGATAAGTAACCCACTGTCATGATCACTAACCCACTCCCATGATAAGTAACCCACTCCCATGATCACTAACCCACTCCCATGATCACTAACCCACTCCCATGATAGCTAACCCACTCTCATGCTAACTAATCCACTCCCATGATGACTAACCCACTCCCATGATCATTAACCCACTCTCATGATCACAAACCCACTCCCATGATGACTAACCCACCCCACTCCCATGATCACTAACCTGCACCCATGATCACTAACCCACTCCCATGATCACTAACTCACTCCCATGATAACTAACCCACTCCCATGATCATTAACCCTCTCCCATGATCATTAACCCACTGCCATGATAACTAACCCACTATCATGATAACTAACCCACTCTCATGATATCTAACCCATTCGCATGCTAACTAACCCACTCCCATGATCACTAACCCACTCCCATGATCACTAACCTGCACCCATGATCACGAACCCACTCTCAAGGTAAGAGTATTCATACATTCATGAAGCGAGAGCCCTCATGGCCTAATCATCTCTTAAAGGTCCCGCCTCTCAATGCTGTTGCATTGGGGATCAAGTTTCAAACACGTGAACTTTGAGGGACGTCTTCAGACTACAGCACCCACCCACTTGGATGTTTGTAAGTAGTGACTGCAAATAAATGTCTATGGATCCACATAAAAGCCCCGACAGAGAAACTGAGTCTTTGTCCACCTCTGTCTTTAGGAAGGAAATGCGGAAAGGGAGCAGCCACCTTAATACTTTGGGGATGAAGAAGCCATTTATTCATTTTCTATCCTTTCTTTTTTTTTTTTTTTTTTTTTTTTTTTTTTTTTTTTTTGAGATGGAGTCTCGCTCTGTCGCCCAGGCTGGAGTGCAGTGGCGGCTTCTCGGCTCACTGCAAGCTCTGCCTCCCGGGTTCAGGCCATTCTCCTGCCTCAGCCTGCCAAGTAGCTGGGACTACAGGCGCCCGCCACCACGCCTGGCTAATTTTTTGTATTTTTAGTAGAGACGGGGTTTCACCGTATTAACCAGAATGGTCTCAATCTCCTGACCTCGTGATCTGCCTGCCTCGGCCTCCCAAAGTGCTGGGATTACAGGCATGAGCCACCGCGCCCGGCCTTCATTTTCCATCCTTTCAATGAGCATTTAAGGAATGGCCAGTGCGTCCTTGGGGATTGCAAGGCAGGGGCCATGCTTGATGCCTGGGGGATGCTGAGACTCAGAGAAGACTCTCCGTGAGCATCTCTTGGTGTGGACCAGGACACACTGCAATCCTCAGCAGCTGTTCAGTTGGTAACAACATGATGCGACTCCTTCTATGTCCTCATCTCACTTCCCAAAATAGAATTCAAGACAGGAACTGACTGGTTGGGACCAACTGGACGATGTCCACTGTGGCCACCTACCCACAGCATCCCATCTTGGTGAAGATGAGAAGGCAGAGGAGGGACAGGCAAACTCTGGGGCCAGAGCTCACGAACTGGGAGCTTCCACGCCTTGCCAGTCCCTCTTTTCCACATTGAGGACACAATCGGCGGTTCCAGTTACTATTTGTGGTTGCTACAAAGGAGTATTTTAGATTAAAAAGGAAACATTTGTCAGCAGGCTTTGGAGCCACAATTCCCTATTAGTGGTTGATTTCATACAACCAGAGTGTCATAGGACTACCGTGGCCACAGATCTTGGATTTTCAGGGATAAGTCCCAGTCGCCCATCTCTATTCTTTTAAGCAAAGATGATTTATCACATGGATGACTTAAATTTGGGCCCTTGTAAGACTCTTTGTATAAATGCATTTAAACATCAGGGAGAATGCTGTCAGAACACCGGCTTTGATACTGTATTTAAAAGGGTGATCTCTGCGTGGCCTTGACAGACAGCACTTTGCAAAGGAGTCCATCAAATAAACATCATTTGGATAATGTCGCAATCTCTGGACAAATCTGGAAACCCACTGGGGCAGCAAAGAATTAGGCTCTAGAGTCACCTGTCTGGAGAGAAAGCTCCTTGGTCATCTCAAGTAGGTCTTGCCTAAAAGTGTTTGGGGCCATCTATGAGAGTGCTTCATCCCCAGGGCTTCGAAATGGAGTAAATGTTTCAAAAACGGGAATGAAATCAGCTTCTCCATCTTGCTCTCACGACAACGCCTGATGGATGTTTCCCTCCAGAATCAATAGAAAAGTTTATTTAGAGATT